AAAGAGTTAAGTGAGATGTGATCCCAGGGCTTCAGCCTGATCCCATGTAAAGCTCTGGAACATAAACTGAACCCCAATGTTGTCCCACCCTGAGGCCAGGGAGCTTGTCTTTTGTCCTCCCATCAATCACTGGCCACAAGCAGCTGGGGGTGAAGGAGATCCCTTCCCAGATGAGCCAGGACGTGGCTACTTGGATGATGGTAATTTTCTAGATAGTGAGGCAGCTGAGAGTCTCACAGAAGTGGGTGTGGGTACATTGGTCCAGTAAGGGGATTTGGGTGGAGCACCAATAACAACCCCTTCAACTTCCAAATTACTTTCCTACTTCTCAAATGTACATGGGAAGTTTTGGCATTACTCTTGGTTGTACTTTTCTGCTCATTTGTTGACAAAATAGCCACAACCTAGAGGCCATTATCCCAAAATTCTTTCCCATTTATTCTCCATATCATCAACATAGTCCCACGATCACCATCCCTTGGTTCCACTGAAACCAATCAACTTCAGAGTGTTTTTCAGAGCATCCAAATCGTGAGTGATACAAGGAGTGTCATATAACAGCCCTCAAGATAATAGTTTAGCAGAGATGAAGGAAAGCACTTGCTCCCCAAATAATAAGGCCATTAATTCACTGAACCAAAAATCTATTGAGTATCTACTATGTGCCTGTTCCTGGTTGGGGAGCTGCTTTGACCCACTTAGTGAGATGCGTCCACCTCATTGATAATACATTGGTGAACATACAGAACATTATTTTCTTTTCCTAACTATTTTACCAAGCTTTGTCCAAAACCACCTTTCTGCTGGGGAGCAGATCACTTAAGAATGTTTTCATGCCCTGGTCAGGTAGCTTAGCTGGTTAGAGCATCATCCTGGTATGCCAAGGTAGCAGGTTTAATGCCCAGTGAGGACACATACAAGAACCAACCAATGAATGCATAAATAAGTACAACAACAAATTGATGTATTTCTCTCTCTCAATTCAATTTTTTAAAAAGAATATTTTCATGACTTTGTAGTCACCTGTTTTGTTAAAACAGCCCCATTTCTGAAGAAGCAGTTCTGCTCATGGTAGAACCTTCATCTCCAATCCAAGTCAAAACTCTCTTTCCCAGATGCCCCCCTATCCTCTCCACAGACCCTGTGGTTGCCGGGGTCCAGCCCCAGCAGGTCCAGGGGTCCCCAAAGGTGTGGACGGAGTCGGCGAAGAAGGAATGACATGGAGACAGCATTCAGTTGATCAGCAGCCTTGCCAGGATCTCTAGCCACAATCTCCAGCCAAGTTCTGTGTCCATGTTCTCTTGCTAGGTTCTCCAGCCACGTTATCCAGGTTCTCCAGCCAGGTTCTGTAGCCATGTTCTCTCGCTAGGTTCTCCGGCCAGGTTCAGTCGCCAGGTTCTGTAGCCGGCTTCTGCAGCCAGGTTCTGTCTAGGTTCTCCAACCAAGTTCTGTAGCCAGGTTCTGTCCAGCATCTTTTGCCATGTTCTGTCTCTAGG